ATAGATAGATAGATAGATAGATAGATAGATAGATAGATAGATAGATAGATAGATAGATAGATAGATAGATAGATAGATAGATAGATAGATAGATAGATAGATAGATAGATAGATAGATAGATAGATAGATGTGTGTGTATACCTTGTAGACATCCCCATAGGTGCCGCTTCCCACCCGCTGGATGAGCTCAAAGTCGTGCTGGGGGTTTCTTCGCTGGATTTCGCCGCTGGGCCGGGGAAACATGTCCATGGTGGCTCTGAAGCTGAGAGAAGCCGGTGCGGGCTAGTTGCTGGAGCCGACAAACAAGTCGATGAGTGCTTGGTTTATTCAGTTGGTCCTTCCGACTGCTCCATGGCCTGGAAATGAGAAGGAACGGAATGCACATTTATTTGTGACTTCTTAAAACTACGATGTGGAAAATACGACATAGTCGATGTTGACCTCAATTGTCAATGATCATTGTATGACAAAGTATATTTATTTTTTTAGATCAAGGCGAATGATGAAGCAAGGGGTGTACTTGGGAAGAAAGTAGAGGGAAGAAAATGTGGATAGTATGAAGGGAGGTGAAGTAAGAGTAATTGATGGAAACTAGGATATATGAAAGGAAAGAATGGATGAAAGGGATAAATGCAAGGTCAGTGTGTTGGAAGGAGTTAAAAAAGGATGGCATAAGAGGAAGGAAAGAAGAAAGGATGGAAAAAAGGGCTTATACTAGGTGAGGAACTGATGAAAGAAAGGAAGTGAAGAAGTATGACTGGTAATGTATGGTAATGAAGATGAAGAGAAGACAGGTTTGGAGTTTAAACTCCTACAATATGAAAAGCATTGATCACAAAAATAAATAACCAGTAAGCTACACTAGTATCTTACCTTAAAAAAAATAAACCGAACATGAAATCAAATAATGCAATTTCATGAACTTCCACACTGCATGCCAGTTTCATGGAGGTGGAGACTAATTGCTGGAAGAGTGTTAAAGACGCAAATAGTGAAAATGACTTCAAACATACCCTTTTAAATGTGTTTGGGTACTTCTAAATCCATAAATAAGTTCATAAAAAGGTATTTGAAAACGTTCAAATGCCCCTGATTCATAGCATTAGTTTGACAGCAATGACTGCAGGAAATAACCGGGTCCTGATCCACCATTTCTTTGAACGGTGAAACTGGAGGGGGAGTTAGCATTCCGGCTAAATGCTAACAGCTAGTTTCTCCGAACTTCAGCTGCCCTCCTGCTTACCGTTCGCGTGGACGACTCGGCCGTGCATTTTTTTCAAATGTCCATTTGGCACTTTTGACGTCGAGTAATGCGGCGAAAAGGAAAATCTTTCAACCGGTCGTCTTCTTTTTTTTTTTTGCTGTCGAGGCGTTCGCAAAGTTGAGGCGGCTCTCAGTGGCTCTCCTTCGGGCAAGCAGCGACCTCGTTCAGCAGCAGTCGTCGCCACCAACTTCTTTGGGACATGTCATCCTCCTTGCTCCGTTGACAGCTTCGAAGAAGGGAGTTGTACTCCCAATAATGGCTAGGGACCTCAAAACATGGAAGAAATTAATGATTCCATGTGTTAGTTCAACACACCAATGCTATTAAAAACAACAACAGTCAGCTACTCTTAATCTCCGTAAATTTCTGGATCCTGGTGATGCGTTAAGGAACACCTCGTAAAAAACGTTCTATCGTAGTTATCTCACGCTTGGTAACGTTACAATATGTCATGTCATTATAAATAAATCCGGCGGGAAAAAAAAAATCCAGGGAATGTTTCACCGGGACGTGTGTATGACGTTTTATACGTAAAACTGGAATGTTGGAGCGTCTGAAAGCATATTATATCTCGCGTTATTATGTGTGATTATTTTATTATAATTACTACGGTCCCCAAAGGCACCGTGTATTCTGGGTTTCACATCCTGTTTTACCGCCATCCAACGGTAGAAAGTGTGAACAGCAGGGGCTGGTTCAAAACCTGGTGATGCATCCAGGAACACCACGTAAAAATGCCTTTTGAGGGGTGTTCAATTCAAAATGTACTTGAATCGTCACTCGTACGGAACCCTCCATCCGTTATCCGTACCGGTTAGCTGTCACCTACGGATATACAGTACAACAAAATCATTCGAATCCCAACAATTTCTCATTATGATGTTTGTATGACGTCATATACGTAAATCAGGACAGCCGCATTTTAGAAAGGGTTCTGTCAGTCGTCATCTGTACCTGTGGGTAAAAAACAAAAAACAAAAAACAAAACAAAAAAAAAAAACAAAAAGGACGTTTCGCTTCTCTCACAGAAGCTTCGTCAGCGGTAGACAACCCTGAAGTCTCCGTGAAGACTCCGGGAAGTTGCTCTGCGCTAAAAGGCTGAGCGTGGCCTGTTTGAGGACTGGGTGGGGATGGTTAGTCACGCCCCTATGGTGAAGAGGCCCATTGGTTTCTAAACTCCCTATCATTGGGTC